AACGATACAGAGAAAGACAAGGGTAATTAGCAAACGGCCCCTGCGCATTCAAGGATGACACGCATAAATCGAGAAATGGTTCAAATTTCTTAAATTAAAAAAAAAACAAAAAACAAACAAACAAACAAACAAACAAACAAACAAACAAGGGCACTGGAAGGGTTGAGTTCCTAGGCGGTGAGTATCGTCAAGGAGTTGAGGGGGGGGGGTTGAGAGGAGAGGGGGGGGGAAGAGAGATGATGTACGCCATGATAGTAAAGCGCAAATCATCTTCTTCACATCATTCTTCTATTATGTTCCATTTTATGTAATCACACACAGGCATTCTTAAAGGGGTTCTTAAAGGGGGTACCGGAAGGCGACAAATGGGAGAATCAGAAAGGGATCTGGAAAGGAGGTGGGGCAGAAGAGACTGGAGAAGAGAGATCCAGGAAGGTCTGGGGGCGGGGGTCCTCATAGAGGGGTAAGGAAGGGGGGGGGCAGAATGGGGGGGTTCTTCCCGTCGTGAATGTGAATCGGATGTCCGTGGAATGTCTACAGAAAGAATATTGTGCCATATAAGAGGGAAGAAATTCCCGCTTGTAAAACAAGGCTTTTTTAAATGTTATTGTTGAAGCTAGTTATATGCCTTTTATCTATCTGTCATGTAAAGATTTATTTTCTCTTTGTAATAAAGAAAATACTTTTATAAATTTATCTTANAGAGAGAGAGAGAGAGGAAAAAAAAACAGTTGCGATAGGAGAAGAAGAGAAGGGGGGGGGGGAAGGGAGAGAGAAGAGTGCGCGGGGGAAGAAGGGCGCGGGAAATAAGGAGGAGGAAGCTCGCATGCGCGGTGCCGACAACAAGAGAAAAGGGCACCAAAACAGTTACAGCTTGTCTATGTTCTACACCAATTCAAAAATTGAAATCAACATATCCGTGCGCGAAAGTCGACGCGGGAAAAGAAATTTCTATGCCTATCTGTATTCTCACAAAATTCCTAGAGTTTTCTCCGCTGTGACCGAGAACATTCATGCAAGGAAAAAGATACGTCGGGCTCCGCTTATTCCGTAGTTCCTAACTGTCGAGCCCGATTCCCAGTGCGCTCGCTAAGGCGCGCGAAATTTCCCGTGCATTTCCCGAATTACAACAAGCAGAATTCCAAGAATCAACAGAACTTCCGAAAAATGGGGGCCCAAACAAGGCGCCTAAAATCAAGAAAAGCGACAAGGGTTCTGTGGGGTCGGTATGATACACAAAGGGGTATTGGGTCAAGGGGGTACGAAAGATAGCACGGGGTCGGGAAATGGTTCGTCACACCCATCCCATACCCATGTGCCCCCCTACTGTATTCATCCCCTATGACTTTGCTCGCCAAAAATCCCTGTTGAAGCCTCTTCAAACCCTTCCTCCTTCCACGTCGGTTGCGACAACCGGCCAGTTGGCACAAGTGCAGGATGATCAACAGTACCAAGTTCAACACCACGAGCAGGAACAATAGCAGAGCAGTCTTCCTCACCATGTCAGCCATGCACTCCTCCAGCAAAGGACAAGGAACGGAGCTGTCAACTTTTGATCAGGACAAAGCAAGGGAGGCAGAGGACTGCAATATACAAGATCACAGGAAAGTACGACAGCGGAGGGGCGGCAGTGCCGTCGGGCGTCGTGGACAAGCTGCGTTCGAATTCGAACCTAAGACCGCCAACGGACATCTCAACTGCCTCCACACGGACCCCCGCAACGGTCGCCTCCACACGCCAGCCGAAACGGTGAACTGGAGGGACTGCGGGGGCACAGGCGGCGAACCGCACGGCCGTTGGAAGTTGTCGTGGCTGTCCCGCAGTCTAGCGGACAAAACCGCCGTTGGACCAGGAATGCCAAAGACAGAGCTGACGGGAAAAAAAAAAAAAAAAAAACACGGTTTTTTCGCGGATGTAAGGGTGCCACCCCTTTTTTCAAGTCACCTCCACGGGCGTCCGTACGTCAAGGTCCGTTTTGGCTGGGGAGTCCTTACTTTCGTAGGGCCCACCCTTACGGCCGCGAATGTGACAACAAGTTCAACTTCTTTTTCTTTGTGATTAGGGAGGGGTGGAGCCATGAAAGCCTTACATGTAAGGGTTTTTGTAGTGGTGTCGAACGAGGCCCCAAGTTCCATTTGTCAGAGCCAAAAAAAAAGAAAACGAAGTCTGGAAATCAACCCCCCCCCCCTCTTTCGAGTCCATAAAATCCAGACTTCCTGCCCACGCAAAGCCAAGAGCTATCATGTACAACTTTGTTGTTGTTGTTTTTTTCGACGCATCTCATTGGACGGGAGGTGGGCATCTTTACAGTCCCCGCTCGGAAACTACCAGGCCGTCGAGATCCGATCTATTCGACGGCCGTACTGTGTCACTCGAGGCCACACGTGATAGAAATCCTGAACGAAGTGGTTAGAATACTTCGCTAATGGCTCCAGACCCCTGATTTGAGGGGAAAAAAAAGGAAAAGAAAAAAGAAAGAAAGAGAAAGACGCACAATCAACCTGTGGAGACTATCCAGCGGCCTATCTCAGTTGGTAAGGCATGCAACTGGCATTCAGGAGGTCTTAGGTTCAATCCCCATTGGCCTCCTGCACCTTCCTGGCGTCCACCACCTAGATCCCCCCGAGTGGCATTGAGCAGAGACTGCTGATGTTCGTAGGGGAAGGGAACCGGAGGGGAGACACAGTGACTGGCCCATCGAAGAAGCTCGGTCCTGATGCTACTGGCTGGCCCCTGGTCCGTATCGCCCACCTGCTGTAGACCTGCTGTAGCAGGTATAGCAGAGGTGGGCATTTTTTTTTTCCTCTCGCCCATGACCCAACCCGCCCAATTTTGTTTTTGTGCCACCCGCCCGACCCAAGAATTTTAATTTCCACCTCAAGACGCTCCCCCCCACCCAGAATGTTTTTTGAAATTTCAGCCCCACACCCGACCTGCCCACCACCTGAAAAAGGTCCTCACCCGGACCCACCCGCACCCGTGAGAACATCATTACCCGCTCGCACCCAAGACTATTTTTTTGCCGTCCGCACCCGCTTGTGTCGATGCAGCCCTGCCCACGACGACTCCACCGGTGTCGCCACCTCTCAACTGTGCATCGCTTGCCAGTGTCACTCCGTCATGGTGTCACGCAGCGGTAAGGCTAGGTAAGTTGGGGGCGGGCTTCCGAAATCACCAAGTTCGCTAACCAGGGGCGAAGTTCAAAGAGGACGGGTCTAGCCGCGTACTGTGGCTAGAACCGCTCTTTCCGTTTTTTAGAGAAAAACTGGGTGAGGGGCTGAACTGTGGGAGTACGCTCATTGTTTTTTTTTCTTGGCCCCGATGCAACAAGCAACCCTGCGTGACTGTACCCAGACCC